CTTCCAGCCGCTCCAGGCCGGGACCATCCCGGCGCTCCCGGCCCTTCCAGCGGCTCCCGGCCGTTCCAGCGGCTCCAGGCCGGGCAGCGGCGGAGCCCGGGGCGGGCGGGGCGGCGCATGCGCGGCGGGGCCCGGAAGGGGCGGCTGGGCAGGGGCAGGTGCCGGTGCGAGCGCCGCGCTGGGGCTGCGGCAGCGCCGGAGCAGCGGCGGGATGAGCCCTGCGGAGTGAGCGCAGCCCCGCCTGACGCCCCGCGCAGCTCTCGGCCCCTCCGCCCCGCCCGCCTCCGCTCTGGCTTCGGGGCCCTTCTCTCTGCGCTGCGGCGGGCGGAGGCGGCGGAAGGAGAAGCTGATGGAGGGGAACCGGGACGAGGCCGAGAAGTGCATCGGGATCGCGCGGGAGGCGCTGGAAGCCGGGAACCGCGACCGCGCCCTCCGCTTCCTGGGCAAGGCGCAGAAGCTCTACCCGACCGAGACGGCCCGAGGTGAAGATCGGCCCGGTCCCCGCTCCCGCTGCCCGGCTCGGTCGGGACGAGCCCGGAGCGGTGGCGGGGCCTGCAGGAGGGCGGGCGCAGGGGGGCCTCCCCCGGGGGGATGTACAGGCTGAGGCGAGCGGAGCCCGGCCCTCAAAGCCACCCGGGGGCTCTGGCGGGGAAAGGAGGCCGAAGTGTGTGGCCAGCAGCAGCGCTCAGGGCAGGCGGCTTGCCCCGCAGATGCATGACTCTGGCGTTAGGCGGTGAGGAACAGTGGGGTTATCTCCCGCGGYGCCAGAGGGGATCTCCCCGGGCCGACCCAGCTCCTCGCCTGCGTTCCCCCTCCTCCCTTCAGCCGTCGGTAGAAACGCAGCCATACAGACGAGGCTTAGCCCCGATTAACATCAGGACATCTCGGGCCCCAGGCCGAGACAGGCTGGGTTGGCTTCTCTTCTGTCAGTGTGAATTACCCCTCTGTAATAGCTTGCAATAAGAGCTGCAGCCCCAGAGTGGACCGTGACTTCRTCCTCTAATATACTTGTGGTTTGGGTTTTCTTGGGCTTGGTTGCCTTTTGGTTGTACATAGAATTGCCCACGGGTTTACCTTTCATGGAGAAAATGGAATATGTGGCTCGCTCCCCTTAAGACTTAATTAGCTCTTWTGACTATTCCATATTAAAAACTTGAAAAATACTTGGCATCTTTCTCACAAAAGGTGTTTAGAAAAACATTATTTTAAGGAATAGTAGTAAGATTTCAGTGCATTTAGAAGTGTTACCTGTCATGGAGTCTTTCTGTCACACAGTGCCAGAAGTCAGCTTRAAACACCTTTGACATAGCAGTGACTTGTTGCGTTCCTCTTGTTCTCACATACATGATCTATGCTGTGGAAGGAGTGGGAACAACTTCAGTGCCTTGTGCTGCTTAAAGGCCTCAGCATTGCCCATTTCTAGAATRTAAGTTTGGGGCGAAGTCCTGGCAGGAAGTTGCTGTGAGAAGATGCAGTGAATATTTTTGGGCCTCTTATCTCCTGACTACTTTTTATTTGCAAACAATAAATGAAGGTCTTACTGGTGCTTTTTTTAAAATCAGTGTTTCATTTTTCAAGTGTTTGGTTTTTCTCCAAGATAGCATGGATGTTGCCATATTCCCCTAAATTTCTGTGGCTTGAGAACATGACCTGCATGAAAATACTTTAAGCTTTTTGGAWGCTCTGTTGGTCAGGAGGCAGGAAGGCAGAGAGTTTCAACTCTGCTTCCTCCACCAATGAGAGCAAATAGCTTTGTCTGCTTTATACAGCTCATTACTATCTTATATCTCAAAGATAAGAGTTAGAGTAGCTTTCAGGAAAAAAAAAAATCTTCCTCTTTCATCTGATTTGTTTTGAGCATTTGGTTTGTTTTTTTTTAAGTAGCACTGTACTACATAACCACCATTATAAAGTATTCAGTGCAAGAAATACATGGCTAATTGGGCTACTGTTTGTAGGACGCTTGTTTTATTCACTGGAAGTTAGCAAAATCAATCACAAATGAGGCACAGACCTGGGGAAAAGAAGATGGCCTTGTGGTAGTGGGCTGTAATCTGGGGAATTGTGTCTTGAAACTAAAAGCTTCACAGAATTTCTCTGTGATGTTAAATAAGTCAGTTCCCTCTGTTTCCATTAGTGACCAGCTAATTATCTGTGCTTCATTTTTCAGGTATTCAGCTTGAAACGAGGGCCTGATTTGTGGAACTGGTGGGCAGTTAAAGCTCCATCTGAAGCCAAAGAGATTTGCAGATGCYCTAATACCACTGAAAAAATTCAGGCCTTAGGCCTGATTTGAACTAGGTACTTAGAAATTAGGGGACTCTAAACTTCTAATATTTCTGTGCTCCAGTTTTCAGGCTTTGGAGGTTGTTAATTCTTTTAAACTCACCTCATTTCCTCCCAAAACAACACCAACTCATTGAATTTATTTTGGTTTTAAAGTTTGAGGCACTTAARTGGCCCTCTTAAAGGTGCAGTAAGGTGCAAGGATGCAGAATGTCCTGTTTTCAGGACAGGTTCTGGAAGGTGTGCAGTAAATTACAACTGTCATTTTACACTGAGTAAGAGCAAATTAAATTGCTCTCATTGACATATTTTAGTGGGGAGTCCACTTGAAGAAAAAATCCAATCCATAATTTGTAATTCAAGTAATTCAAGATGTATCGTAGCACATACCAGAGAGAAAGAAGCARTGAGCCCATTTAGTTCTAACATAAATTCTTATTTTATAGTCATGATRTGTTAGATTTACATGGTGATAGTGATGTATAGGAATTGGAGTCATGAGAGCAAGTCTCCCCATGTAAGAAGCTGCATCCCGTGCCTACGCTTGAAACACGAAACAAAACCAAGGAACACTCGGGATTCAAACTCTCAATTTCTGGGCATGTAGTGCAGAACTCAGTTAACTTTTCAAACCCCCAACCACAGCACAGTTTCTCATTTGCTTACTCACATGCCTCTGTTGCTGAGTTTTTGGACTCTGGCATCGCTTGGATCACAGTGGCCACCCCACAAAAGCTGGCCAGGGCAGGGGATTTGGATCTTACTCGGTCCAGGGGATTCTCAGGAGCCTCCTCATCCCTTTCTGGTGTGCCAGAACTGATGCCTTATCAATCTGGTTCACCTGAAACAGAGGCCAAACAAACTTAAGGGAATTAGAATAGACAACTTTAATACAGGCCTAACAGGCCTACTGGTACATTAGGGCAGACAAAGCCTTCTCCTGAGGCTGCACCCAAAATGGACACCGAGTTACGAGATCTTCACCTTTTATAAGTTCTGTCTTATTAACATACTGGGCCTCAATCCGCCAGTGATATTTTCAGGTGATGATATCAACCACCCCAAACTTACTCCCCCCCCAGCTCACTGTTGTTCACGTATTTTAGGGCTCTGAGGCAGCGAGGTATCCTTGGATTCGGGCTCAGAGAGGGATTGTTTTGTCTGAAAAAGGGAGAAAGGTAGTTTTAGTGTTCTACTAGAGAATGTAGACGCATGAAAACATAGAAGCTAAAAATCCTAAGGTATCAATAGGACAGTGTGGTGCAGCCCCAGTTGTTGCTCTGCTCACTTATTTTTCTCTTTGGAGTATGAGTTAGAAGATAGTTGAATTAATTTCTCACWGAAGTTGCAGATGCTTCATGTGTTCTACCTCTAGT